CAAGCATCGCATCGATCTTCCCAGACATTGCGGCCCACATCAATAACCGCCACGTAGAAGTCCGAAGTATGTCGTGGGCCTTACATCGCTGAATGTCTAGCTCCAACACCACGGTGTCGCCCTCGTCCAGCTGAAACACCTCATAGTGGCCTGGATCGCCCGCAAACAAATGGATTATCAACCTTTTCGCGTTCCACAGTCGCCTCCTCTGGGGCCTCGTCAGAAACTCGATCTCCTTGAGAACCTGCCATCCACCCTCCATAACTCCACTCTGAACCAGACCGTCCACGCATGCGCGCGGAAGGTCCGCAAGGAAAGGAGCATCACGCACAGCACGAAGACCTGCTTCTTGAATGCCCTTGGTCACATATTCCGTCAGCTGGTCCTTCCAAGGGGCATCGAACACCATCCTTGCTGCCTCGAGATAGTCCTGGGACATCACCGTAACATTCTCCAGCTGCTCCCTTTTCCTGTCCTCAAGACGAGCTATCAGGGACAATGCCTCCGCTTCTTGTAGGTGTGGACAACCTGCAGAAACACCCAAGGATTGAGAGTTTCCCTCCGCGTCCCTAAGAAAACATCCCTTTTGCGACCACTCCAACGAATAACCGAGGGTCCGAACCAGCTCTCCCAGTGGAACTATGGTATGTCCCCTTGTAGTCGTAGTCGATGAGGTCGGCGTCCGTGGTGGCATCAAGAGTGATCCTCCTGAGCTCAATCGCATCTTCAGGGTATTGTCCCCCGCCAACTGCACTACCACCTCTTCTGCTAAGCTCCATTCGTTCATGTCGTGGGCATTCCGGAGGCAGTGTGTTGATCCACTGTCCAGCAGAGCCGTTGACGAAGAATCCATGGAAGAGATGCGAATGTCCTTCACACTCAGTACCTTCAGCTCTGTTCTCGTTTTTTCCGGCGAGCTGTCTCTATCTGAGGGAGTCTGGTTCTGGATCACCTGCTGCGCCACTTGTACCAAAGACTCCAGAGTCCACGGAACTCCTTGTACTGTAGGTGACGCATTCGTACCAGAGGTGCCTCCCTGAGCTTCTGCTCCAATCACAGCCACCGTTGGCGTGCCACTCGAGCCCGATGCTCTGTCACCCTGCTTCGGCGACGTAGTCGAGGAGGTCGTCCGAGCCGGCGGCTTCCCTATGGGACATTCACGGGCTCTGTGTGACTCACTGCCGCATTTGAGGCACTTTCGCGCTCGGACTTCTTTTTCTAGTCCGGACATGCTATGTGAATATACACACCTGTCTCCCCTTTTGCATCCACTGGGCTTATTGAAGTAGCGGCAGGGCTCCTGACTCTTGTCCTTCTGCTTGTTGCCCTTTGGGGATTGTATGGACGAGGAAACATCCACTGCCCGAACCGCCGCTGTTCCGGGTGGTACTGCTGACTGCTGCGCACCCAGGATCCCCTCCAGCTCTGCTTGCAGATGACGGTGGTAGCCCTTCACCTGGTCCAAGGTTGGCTGGCAATCCAGTCGTAACGTACTTCGCAACATTGAGGTTCTGAAGGAAGCATCTGTTGATCCCATAATTTGCCTCGAAGTTAAAGTCTGTAGCCCCTTTGACATCACTGAAGGGTCTGGGGGCAGCAGTCTCATCGACTGGCACCTGGCCAACCAGCGTGGCCACGCACGCAGATGATTGAGGACCGCCTCCGCTGAATCAGTTGCTACTCCATCTGCTGGGCTTTGGAGACGACGAAGAACTTCTTGTCTTTCTGCAGTGCCTCCCGGCTGAAACCATGTAAACAACCTGAACATCAGCGCTGGGGCATACTGCGTGATGCGCTGCGCGATCATGTCAGCTCGAAGTTCCGGGGTCATCGCATTGAGCAATAGGCTACATGCCCTTGCATTGATTCTGCCCCATGGATCCTCACATAATGGACCCATCCCTTCGGGCTGAACCGACAAACGCTCTAAGTGGGTGGCGCTCAGCCACCTTGAGTACGCGGCCTCTGCAACCAACATCACCGCTTTCCACCATTGTCCCGATTTTTCACTAACATCGGTCATGGCTGTGGATGTAATCTCCACCCAATCCTGGAACTTCAATGACGCCTCCGCTCCTCCTCTGTGATCAGGAAGCGGCGTAAGAGCATTCGTTCCCGCCTTCAATGAATCCGCGGCCGTGTGGGTAGCTCCCTTTGATAGAGCCTGCGCCTGTAGCTCCTGTAGCTGCTGAACTCCTCTGGCCAGTGCCTCCATCATGGGAGACTCCGCTTGCTGCTGTGAGGTAGATCCTTGGGGAGGAGGCGACGTAGATCTCGCTCGTGGAAAGACTGTCCTTAGCAAGCTTGTTGGTTCTGGTTGTTCCGGTTCCCGCGTAGATAGGCTGTTGCTCAACCGTCTTATCCCTTCTTGCCATAGAGATCCTGGAACACTTCCTTGCTGTTGCTCTTCCCGAGGGGGTGCTCCAGAGCCTTGAGGTAGAGAGGGGATCTGAGATACTCCAGGAGTCTGTTGTAGCCTGAGATCCTGAGGTACTCCCGCATCTAGCTGTAGCGCTGGACCTTGTGGTAACCCGGAACCTTGCTGTAGAGCTGGGCCTTGTGGTAATCCGGAACCTTGCTGTAGAGC